ATGAAGGAGGACCACTTAGTCCTGTCTGGAGGCTTCTTTGAAGGGAGAGAAAATGTTTGTGCTGAGTCTTAACGGATGACCAGAAGACTAGAAATTAGTTCAGTGAGGATTGGGATTGGGGGAGATGTGGTTTGGAGACATCCTAGACCAGTGATGGCGAGCCTATGACACGCGTGTCAGAGGTGACACACGAACTCATTTTTTTTGGTTGATTTTTCTTCGTTAAATGGCATTTAAATATATAAAATAAATATCAAAAATATAAGTCTTTGTTTTACTACGGTTGCAAATATAAAAAAATTTCTATATGTGACACAGCACTAGAGTTAAGTTAGGGTTTTTCAAAATGCTGACACACCGAGCTCAAAAGGTTCGCCATCACTGTCCTAGACAAAGGGAATAGCATGAACAAAGACACGTATGCCGACTGCTGAGCAGCTACATGTTAGTGTGGCTTAGGCCTTTGAAAGCAGTTGTAAGTACAGGAGGATCTTGAGGTTTTGAGCTTCAGGATAGAAGGCAGATTTATCTAATTCACCTTGTGTCATCATTGATATTCCCCCTCAGGGACTTCAGCTTGTGGCCATCTTGGTCCTCCATTTCCTCTGTTCTCCCTAGATTGTTTACAACCTGCTGTCTCTGCGCTTCAACTCCCGCATCCGTGTGAAGACCTATACAGATGAGCTGACACCCATTGAGTCCTCTGTCTCTGTGCATAAGGCAGCAAACTGGTATGAGAGGGAGGTGAGTTACTGGGCATGGTGGACCGTGCTTCTGAGCCAGAGTTGCAGAATTGGTTGGAACTACTGTGGGCAGCACAGCCCCTTACCCCCATGTTGGCCATGATGGACTGGTTGCCCGAGGGCCTCTTTTTTCTAGATCTGGGACATGTTTGGAGTCTTCTTTGCTAACCACCCTGACCTAAGAAGGATCCTGACAGACTATGGCTTTGAAGGACATCCTTTCCGGAAAGACTTTCCCCTGTCTGGCTACGTTGAGGTAGGAGCCTTGGAACTGATAGCAGCCTCAGGGAAGGACTGGCAGGGAACCTGGGGATCCTGGGCATGGCAGGAAATATGGTTTGTGGATTGTGGTGGTTTAAGAGCATTGGCTCTGGATTCAAATCCTAGCTCCACTTTTATAATTTGGGGTAAGTTACAAATTTCTCTATGACAGTTTTACTCATCTGTGAATTGGGAACAATAATAGTACTTAACCAATAAGATTTGCAGTGTTCTAAATGATGTATGTGTAATACCTGGTGTACTATAAATGGTCAGTTGATGCTAGCCATTATTGTAGTGATCATTTGAATGATCAGGGCAGCCTTGAGAACACAGAGTCTGTCCCCAAGATCTGAAAGTGGAATGTCATTTTACCCTACCCTGGATCTCTGAGAAGGAAGCTGACAGGGAAGACACTGAATATTCAGCCTTTGAGAATGGCCAGAGGCAGGACCAGTAACATCCTATCTAATAAAGAGAGAATATGCTAATTGGCCATCACGCCATTACAAAGATGGTGGCACCCATAGCCAATAAGGAGGGAATATGCTAATTGACTGCCCCGCCCTCAAAGATGGCAGCACCCATAGCCACAAGATGGTGGCTCCCAGTCCCCTCAGCCCCGCAGGGGCAGCAGGCTCCCAGCAAGGCCGGGCCTACCTCCAGGTGAGCCCGGCCACTCTGCACACCTGCCTCCAGAGTCCCCCAGTCCCTCAGCCCCAGGGCCGCCCGAGGCTCAGGTAACCAGGGCCGGCTGAGGCTTGCGCTGCCAGCAGTGGCAGCAGCAGAGGTGTGATGGAGCGTTGCCTTCCCTTGATCGCCTCCCACCCCTGAGGGCTCCCAGACTGTGAGAGGGGGCAGGCCAGGCTGAGGGAACCCCCCTCCAGGGCATGAATTTTCATGCACCAGGCCTCTAGTGTGACCATAAGGGCCTTATAAAGAAGTTCAGTGCTTTGCTTTACCATCCATGTGCTGCAGGTTGTTTGTCAGCGGGAAGATGCTGTATTGTGTACATTAACACCAGTGATTTTGTAGCAAAGTGACTTAGAAATACCAAGATAGTGGCAATCCAGCCCTTCTCTTTAGTGCTCAAATGCTCCTGTATTTTGCATGGTTCCCTTTCCTTCTCAAGCTACTTCTGGTCAGGGTTACTTCCCTCTCTTCTCCCTTTCTTTCACCCCACTGTCCCCCTAATTTGGACTGCCTCTTAACCCTAGCACTTGTTTGTTCTTATCTTATCCAGCTGATCCTCCAATAACAAGAAAAGCCATGCCAAATTGATTGCCTCAATTAAAAAAGCAAATTAGCCCTGGCCAGCATTGCTCAGGGGTTAGAGTGTCGGCCCATGTATCAAAGGGTCCCAGGTTCGATTTCCAGTCAAGGGCACATACCTGGGTTGCAGATTCAATCCCTGACCCCAATCAGGGTGTGTATAGGAGGCAACTAATCAATGTGTGTCTCACAGCAATCTTGCTCTCCCTCAATCTCTTTCTCCCTCTCTCTCCCTCTCCCCTACTATTCTTCCCTTCCACTCTCTCTAAAAAAAAAAAAAAAAATCAATGGAAAAAATATCCAGTGAGGATTAACAACCAACAACAACAACAAATCTTTACACTGAAAACAACAACATATTGCCAAGAGAAATTAAAAAGACCAACATAAGTGCTGGCTGGATAGTTCAGTTGGTTAGAGCATCCTCCCAGTATACCAAGGTTGTAGGTTCAAAACCCAGTCAAGGCATATACAAGAAGCAACCAGTGAATGCACAAATGAGTGGAACAACAAATTGATATTTTCTTTCTCTAAAAAATTAAAAATAAATAAAAAGACCAACATAAATTGATGGATATACCATGTTCTTGGATTAAAAGACAAATTGATTGCCTCACATCTTGACACCGATAATGCCAAGGCCCCAAGGCCTGAACTTTAGTGCCTGCCAGTTAGGTGTACTCTTTTCAGCCACTGACTTGCTCTCTAATCCTGGGCAAATTCTTATCTTATAAAGTGTGTGGATGGGTGAGCAAATTCAGTTCAGCTGGAAAGAGCTCATAATGGGATGGTGGGCAGGTGAGCCTGACTGGGTGATGGCAGGGCATGAGACAGAGGGCATTTTGGACTATGGTTAGTAAGTAACAGGTGTGGATGGAGACTTGAAACAGGCTGGGACAGGAATCAAGAATAGAGAAGTAAAGGGGCCGGCATGGGGAAGTGGGCTGCTTGCTGTAACAAGGTCTTGTCCGCGCACAAACTTGCCTTTTTCTTTTGCAGTTACGCTATGATGATGAAGTGAAGCGTGTGGTGGCTGAGCCGGTGGAATTGGCCCAAGAGTTCCGCAAGTTTGACCTGAATAGCCCATGGGAGGCTTTCCCTGCCTATCGCCAGCCCCCTGAGAGTCTCAAGCTTGAAGCCGGGGACAAGAAACCAGAAGCCAAGTAGCTCCAGGGAAGGCATCTGGATCCTAGAAAGCGCCTTATCTATAATTGAGTCTGTGTAAATAAAATCCTACTTAGACTTACCAATTCCTGTGTGCTTATCAACATGAAGTTTTTACTCAGGAGAGGGGAGATGGCAGGCAGGGGTTTTCCCTGCTGACTACCAAACTGGGAGTCTGTTTTAATGGGACTGAATAGTGCAGTTACAGATGTGGTGACCTGCAGGCCTGGATGTATTTCTGAGGGGTGTTCTGCAGCTGAAATTCAAAGTTCATATAGCACACAGGCCTCAGGGTGGGTGTGGCATGGCCTCTAGCAGGGTCTCAACAACTGCTGGAGAAAGTCCATGTCTGGCAGTAGCTTATGTGTCCAGGGGCCTGGGTGGAACCAGGAAACCACTATCCACCCTCATTCCATCCAAATATCCACAGGGTTCCATGAGCTGCAGCTCCTTTTTGAGTCTTGAACCCTGTAACCTGACAGCCCATCACACTTGATCTAAGGGAATCTTCCTAGACCAGTGATGGCGAACCTTTTGAGCTCGGCGTGTCAGCATTTTGAAAAACCCTAACTTAACTCTGGTGCCATGTCACATACATAAATTTTTTGATATTTGCAACCATAGTAAAACAAAGACATATATATATATATATATATATATATATATATTTTAATATATTTTTATTTTTTACAGAGAGGAAGGGAGAGAGATAGTCAGAAACATCGATGAGAGAAACATCGACAAGCTGCCTCCTGCACACCTCCCACTGGGGATGTGCCCGAAACCAAGGTACATGCCCTTGACCAGAATCGAACCCGGGACCCTTCAGTCCGCAGGCGGACGCTCTATCCACTGAGCCAAACCGGTCTTGGCAAGACTTATATTTTTGATATTTATTTCATATATTTAAATGCCATTTAACAAAGAAAAATCAACCAAAAAAATGAGTTCGTGTGTCACTGCTGACATGCGTGTCATAGGTTCGCCATCACTGCCCTAGACTCTGGCCTGAGCCAAGAATGTTGTAAACAAGCAGAGGAGGACCCAGGGCTGAGGCGAATGACATTCGGGAGCTGCAGAGCTTCCAGGGGATAGGACTCCCCACCCGAGCTGGTCTGGACTCTGTGTTCAGCCGGTCTGGCTGAGTGCCTGAGGTGGAAGTGCTTGGCTTTGCCTGCCCATGGCACTGTCCAGTCAGTCGGGGATGCATTTGTAGGACTGAGCTTTGCAGCTGATGCTCTTGGCTGCTGAGGTGCTCCCTGGAGGCTGGGCTGGGGACTGGGCGTCCGGAGTTGGGCTCAGCTGCAGGATGTTTTGGATATGAGGACAGATAAATAGTAAGGTAGTATTACGGCCTGGGCTCTTCCCTACCTTTTTTTTTTTTTTTTTTTAAATATATTTCATTGATTTTTTACAGAGAGGAAGAGAGAGAGATAGAGAGCTAGAAACATCGATGAGAGAGAAACATCGATCAGCCGCCCCCTGCACATCTCCCACTGGGGATGTGCCCGCAACCCAGGCACACGCCCGCAACCGGAATCGAACCTGGGACCCCCCAGTCCGCAGGCCGACGCTCTATCCACTGAGCCAAACCGGTTTCGGCTTCCCTACCTTTTAGGAGGGCCAAGCTCAAGCTGTTTGCTACCCAACACCTTTTTTCTATTAACTAAGAATCCGGCCCATCTGGGTAGCAACAGCCTCCTACTGCCAACAACCAAAGATTTCACATTTCTACGGGATGGAAAGAGCCCTGGGAAGCCAGAGCCAGCTCCTCCCTGTTTTGCTTTGAAGACTGACACGCAAAGCAGGGAACACTTGAGCAGCCTGCAGTGGAAAGCTGGAGCCATGGTGTGTGGCAGACGGATGCAGGAGCAGAGAGCAGCCAGGGAGAGCAGAACTCGGAGGACGCGGTGGGGCATGGCGGGGAAAATTAAGTTCCTGGCTTGGCTAATGGTAGCCATCTGCCTCCTCCCTGGGTTGGCTACAACCCAGCACCACGAAGGTACCAGGGCTTCAGGGTGGGGTGGATGGGAACCAAGGAAGGGTGCTGGCTAATAGCAGTTATAGTTGGTTCTATCTGAGCCTAGCAGGGCCTCGGGATTGTGGGCTGACGTGTGCTGCAGAGGTTAATGGCGTGGGCCCCTCCCCTAGAACAGGAAAGGTCCAGGTGAAGTGAAGGGAGATAAACGTAGGTGCTGACCCTGGACAGAGTTGTGCCTGGGCTTATTCTGGTTGATGCCTGAAGCAGTTTCCCTTGATCTGCCCTGGGCTTGCAACAATCATTTCAAGGGACGGGTGCGCCCTGGGGTGGGATGAAGGAAGCTGTAACAGACATTCTGCCTTGCCTGGTCTCCCTGCCTTGCATACCATCACTACTGAGGAGTAAGGAAGGAGTGGGTTCTTTCCAAAAGGGGTCCTCCATCTTTGAGGAAGGTCACTGTTTTAGGTTACACTGTAAACCAGATGATAGGGAGGGAGGGGGAGTGGGAAGTAAAGTGTCTCGTGACCCGTTGCCCTGGAGCTCTTGGCCAAGGGAACTGCGAAGTTCAAGGAGTTCTGGACATTTGCTGAGGTGCTATCCGGGTTTGGGACGATGATCTTGGAATAAGACCTATGCCTGGGGTGGTAAATGTCAATGTGTGTATGTGTGTAGGGAGTGTGCGGGTGGCGGGGAATGGAATGGCAATCCTACTCTTGCAGCTAAAACCTCTAGACACTCTTACAGGCAGCTAAGGGGCACTTCTGGGAAGCTGGGTTGTTTAGGATGGAGCTTGGCAGGGGCCTGACTTCTCTCTGCTGCCCCAGGGCAGCCCATGGACAGCACCAGCGTGGCAGGTGGCCTGCAGGAGCCAGAGGCCCCGGAAGTGATGTTTGAGGTCTTTCCTCCAGCTTGGGACATGGGGGTGGGGGTGAGGGGGCAGTGTCCAGAGGTCCCTAAACTCAGAGTTGGGAAGGGGGATGTCTCAAGCTGGGCTTGCTGGGGGAGGGGGCCACCCAGCATGGGACCTACTGCCTGCTTATGCCCCCCTGGCCCACTCTAGCTCCCTACCCTGCCCCGGAGCCCAGCCCACTCCTTACACAGCTCCCCTTGCAGCTGCTCTGGGCCAGGCTGGAGCTGGATGTCACCGGGCAGCTGCACATCCAGGACGAGGAACTGGCGTCCACACGTCCAGGCCGCCGACTCGGGCTCCTCCTGCAGCACCACGTGCCCAGTGACTTGGAGGGCGCTGAGCAGCGGCTGCAGCAGTTCCAGGACCTGCGGAAGGGGCCTCCTCTTAGCCCCTGGGATTTTGAACATCTGCTCCTCACCGGCCTATCCTGTGTCTACCGGCTCCACAAGGCTTTGGAGGCTGAGGAGAGGGGTCACTGGGCCCAGGTCTTTGCCCTCCTGGCACAGGAAACACTCTGGGACCTGTGCAAAGGCTTCTGCCCCGAGGGCCAGCCTCCTTCTTTGGGGCCCTGGGCCTCAATCCTTGACCCCTTCCCCTGACCCTCCCCTTTCACCCTAATTCCCACCCCCAAGCCAGACTCATCCTGGGCAGGGGCTTCCATATGGCACCTGGTTCTTCCCATCGTGTTCCGGTTCTTGGGCTTAGGGCTGCACCCTGGACCATGCTTACCTCTCCCCCGTCTTCTTCCCTGGGCCCTGACAGGCAAAGAGGCCAGACTCTGGGTGCCGGGCAGCAGGTGCAAAACTAAAGGCAGGACTTGCAGACAGTGTGTGTGGTTTGTGGTGTGTGGTTGGTGTGTGTGTGTGAGTGGGGTGTGGGGTGTGTGTGTATGTGGTCTGTGTGGGGTGTGTGTGTTGGGGTCAGGACTGAGACGTGTGTTTTAAAAGATGCTGGAAGGGAAGCCGCCCCTAAGTCGGGGGTCCGGCCCCGGCCCTCCCCTGGCGTCCCTGAGGCCCTGGGCATCCGGGGGGCCTTCTGAACGCTCCACACCCCATCTCCGTGCCCCTTGAAGCCCAGCCACTGCTCCGGGCCCTGAACCTCCACGTCCCCACTGGGTGGGGGCAGCCTGGCGTTCTTGGTTTGTCTGTTGGGAGTGAAGGGAAGCGGGTGGAGAAATGCACATACCAGGGCAGGAGGGATGTGTCGGGTCCATCTCAACAAGCCCACGGGGAGCGGTCGGAGGAGGGAGCGAGGCTGGGAGGGGGTGGACAGCGCAGGCCGAGCTGGCGGGGAGCCCCTGACCCCCTGTCGCCCCCCCCCCCCATAAAGTGTTCTGTTCTGGCCTCCTGGGTCCTGTCCTGAGCGGGTCGCCCTCCGAATGCGGGCCGCAGGAGGTGGCACCAGGTGCCAGCTGCAACCTTAACCCCCGGGCCGGAGGAGGACTTGCGGTCCGACTCCAAGCTCCCAGAGGAGCGTGGTACGGCCGTCCACCTCCCGCGGAACAAATACTGTAGCCCTCGTGTAGGAAAAAAAAAAGGCATGGCCAGATAGGACACGCACGGAAGCTCACCACGGGTCCGATATGTTGCATTCAAGATCTTCTGTCACGATTCCAGAGCTTGATGAAGGGTAGGGGTGTAATATAGACGTTAAAGCAAGATACCCCT